GGCTTCCTGGCTGCCATCTGCTTCCTGGTGGCTTTCCTGGCCAGGAACCTCCCTGGGGCCTTTAATGAAGCCAAGCTGATCACCTTTAGCATGTTGGTCTTCTGCAGCATCTGGGTCTCCTTTGTGCCAACGTACCTGAGTGCTAAGGGGAAGTACATGGTGGCCGTGCAAGTCTTCTCCATCTTGGCCTCCAGTGCTGGCCTGCTGGGCTGCATCTTCATCCCCAAGTACTACATCATTCTACTAAGGCCAGATCTGAATGTAAAAGGACATTTGATCCTGAAATAAAATATAAACCATGACTTTTTGGGGTAGGTGTTTCCCCAAATTGTCAGTTAATAATATCACCCTTTGATCCTTTAATATTCCTTTAAAAAAAGAGGTTCACTTTGAAAATTATACTTAGAGAGAACTGGTGTAAGCTGTTTTATCACTGGCACTTTATTCAGTCATTATTGCTAAAATGAGTAGCTCCTTTCCCCCAAATGGTAGAAATGAAATGAGCAGATTGGATCTTCCTTCCATATGTGGTGGCCATGTTGCCAAGCTCAACAGTGTTGGAAAATAATTTGTTGTAGAATAAAACCAATTCTGATAGTTGTAGTTCCATGTCAGGTTGGGACATTTTTATTAAACTTCATCAAACCACACATTACTCCAAAATGCACTGAACTGGCCTAGCTTATGATAACAGCTGCAAGGATTTTATAGGCCTTGGAATGGGAAAAGATCTCAGATTCCCTCTCTGCAACCCTGGTTCATTAACTGTAGGCATCTGCTTTGAACTCTTGTATATCTTCCTATGTAAAATGTAAATCCAATCTTATTTGGAAATCATTTCAGGATTACAATTCTATACATGGAACTGTTGTTCAGTCATTAAGCCATGTCCGACTCTTCGTGAGCCCATGTACCACGTTGTGCCAGGCCTTCCTGTCTTTCACTGCCTCCCGAAGTTTGCTCAGTTTCATGCTCACTGCTTCAGTGATGCTATCTAACCATCTCATCCTCTGCTGTCCCCTTCTCCTTTGGCCTGCCGCATCTCAAATTTAAATTCCAGAGTAAACATTTTAATCTGACATGAAGTCTATACATTATTTAAAGTACGGTTTCAATGTATTGCTTGTTATTTGTAGCTTTCCTTTTCCTCTTTTGATTTCAACTGTGCAACCAAATATTTTTACACTTCAATGAAAGATGTCTTATAGAAACTGGGTACGAAATGTCTTATAGAGTCTAAGTGGTAAATGGTGTATGTGAATATATTAGCCATATGCCATCTTTGTTGTGTTGATTATGCCAGCATCCATCCACAGTGGCCACGTACGATTTATCACCAGCATCCCAATGAGACCACGCCCCAAACTCTCAGATGACTTTCCTCATGGTTTCATGTAGATGCTAAAAAGCATTGGGTACTATAATCAGCACCCACCAGGCTGGCCTCTTATCCCCCTCACAACAGACTAGAACTCTCTAGTGAGGAAGAAGAACCACCCTAAGGCACTGCCTACTGTCCCCCAACCCATGTAGGCAGTCCAGTGAGATCCCAGGGTCCATGGTCTCAAAAAGCTGCTGGGAGGTCTAAGAGGACAGTGAGAGTGACCAAAGCTATCTCAGACCAAAGCCAGATCGGAACCAAGGCTGAAAAGGATCCAGATAATCTACTGGTCCAGAGTACTGACTATTTGAGGGAGTCAGATAGACATGATCTGGACAGAAAACATTTTTCTCCTCACTTTACTGGTCTTAGTTAATGGGCCCAAGATGTCCATCCCATACCTGGAAAAGGGGACTGGCACTATTGGAAGGGTAGCATAGGGGCTTTATTCTGCTTTGAGCTAGGTCTGACCTTCTGACACTCAGGACAGGACAGGACTGGCAGTGCCTGACCACATCCTGGGTCAACATCGGCCAAAAGAACCTTGCCTTTATACATGCCAAGGTCTTCTCTGATACCAGATGGCCGGCCAATGGGCTTTCATGTGCCACGTTCTGTAGCTTAGCCCTAAACTCTCTGGCCCAGTTACTTGCTCCCTCATTTCCTGTGTGTTTGGGGTCCTTCTGAGCCTCACTGCCACCTCTCCTTTTCCCACAAAGATTGGTTTATTTTTGCAGACTATACCACTAGGCATGACCTCCTTCCAGCAGGAAGGCTGATCTGCTCTCGGCAGAGGACCTATGACTGCCTGCCATTCTCATCACAGGGAATTTCATCTCCCTCTGACTGTGAAGCTTCTGGAAGTTTCTCAGCTCTTTTCTTTTCCTGCCTAGTTGTGCCTGATATGGGGGAAGGGGGCTCAGCTGAGTTGCTTGGAGAGGCTGCTAGCCTGCCAGACAACAGTCTCCTGGTGACGGACATGCCCATTCCCAACACTATATCATGTGGAAGACCCTTGATCACCCCCAGGATAGCAGCGATCTTCAAACCTTCTACCCACTTCTCTTGCTCTATAATGGGGATTTTCCGCATGTCCCCAAAGATGGCTGGTGTGGGTCTTCCGGGCTGTGTGGCCGTGTTCTGGAAGTTTTGTTTCC